GCAGTACGCCATTTCCTGTGAAAACAATCCACAGACATTTTTTCATGCATGCAGCTTTCCTTCTCCTTGTTTATTGTTGTGTGTGAGCGTCTGAAATCACGTATGGCGTTGCAATTTTTCTGCGATTTCGTGACGTTACGGGATCAGCCGTTTGAAACGCTTTCACTCCCGTTTCACGTCAAAATGACTCCCGGTCGTGAATGCGGTCGTGGGTGGAACACCGCTATTACGTTACACGTTACATAGGACATGACAAAGATAAGTGGACTTCATTTCTTCCCATGCACGTGTCCAACAATCTGGTTAGATCACTTTTTACAGCTTTTTTGGAGAGAAAAGTGTGAAACCAAACACCTGAAACTCAGTTTTTAATTTAATTGTCTGATCCTGGCAGATCGGAGCGATGATGATGAGTCATGCTGGCCGTGAACAAACAGCTGAGTTTAGTTTCAGTGTTGACTCAGTTCTGCAGTCTGCTCTGAACAGAAGTTCTGCCTGTCGGTAAATTCAAACCCACTGACGTGAAATGTGCTGCTAAGAAAATCAAATCCAACCCAAGCGTGTGTTAAATATGAACATCACTCCTAAAACATTACTTATTCATGAATGAGTCAGTCTAATAGTTGCTTTTCTTCTGCACGATTTGACTCTCGCCATGTTTTTATTTACTCCTCTGAGTCCTTAAGAGTCACAAAGGAACTATGAATTATTTTAAACTATTACTTCTCTAACTAAAAGGTTATGCATTTCAGGAGCATTTACATCTGCTGTGGTCACTTTTCTGCATAAAAAGTGAAAACGGTGGTGAACGGCTCCCTAGGGTGCCTTTAAAACAATTAGTTAAACATTCCCGATGGGAAAAGTGGAAAATGCACGGGTTAATTTCCAGTTGGTCTCACCAGCTGACAGTCCTCCAGAGAGTTGACGAGCTGAGCGTTCTGGCAGGAGAGGATGGAGCCCGCCAGGTTGAGCATCACACACACTGCAGACAGCAGCATGAAGAACGTGATCTGTGACAGAGACGCAGAAAGTAAGAAATGAGGACAAATCAGAAAGAGAGCATGGTGTCCAAATGTTGATAAGGTACGTATGTCCTCCTCATGGTGTGTTTGAAGTAAAATTGGAGGCTGTATTTTGGTCCATTTGTCTTATATTGTGATTTCCTGATGGCTAAAGAGAGAATAAGCACTGATATCAACAGAAATCAATAACCACGTTGACTCCAGGACTGCAGAACAAACGCAAAGTGAAATTAATCTCCTGTAAAAATCAAAACAGCTATAAAAGAAGCTAATAATTGATTTTAAACATTTTAGCTTCAACTGTTAGTGACATATACAGGTGCTGGCCAGTAAATTAGAATATCATCAAAAGGTTGAAAATATTTCAGTAATTCCATTCAAAACGTGAAACTTGTACATTATATTCATGCAATGCACACAGACCAATGTATTTCCAATGTTCATTACATTTAAATTTGATATTCATAAGTGACAACTAATGAAAACTCCAAATTTGGTATCTCAAAAAATTAGAATATTCTGAAAAGGCTGAATATAGAAGACACCTGCTGCCACTCTAATCAGCTGATTTACTCAAAACACCTGCAAAGGCCTTTAAAAGGTCCCTCAGTCTTGTTTTGAAGGCACCACAATCATGGGGAAGACTTCTGACTTAACAGCTGTCCAAAAGACAATCATTGACACCTTGCACAAGGAGGGCAAGACACAAAAGGTGATTGCTAAAGAAGCTGGCTGTTCGCAGAGCTCTGTGTCCAAGCACATTAACAGACAGGCGAAGGGACGGAAAAAATGTGGTAGAAAAAAGTGTACAAGCTCTAGGGATAACCGCACCCTGCAGAGAATTGTGACGACAAACCCATTCAAAAATGTGGGGGAGATCCACAAAGAGTGGACTGCAGCTGGAGTCAGCGCTTCAAGAACCACCACGAGGAGACTCATGAAAGACATGGGATTCAGGTGTCGCATTCCGTGTGTCAAGCCACTCTTGAACAAGAAACAGCGCAAGAAGCGTCTCGCCTGGGCCAAGGACAAAAAGGACTGGACTGATGCTGAGTGGTCCAAAGTTATGTTTTCTGATGAAAGCAAGTTCTGCATTTCCTTTGGAAATCAAGGACCCAGAGTCTGGAGGAAGAGCGGAGAAGCACAGAATCCACGTTGCATGAGGTCCAGTGTAAAGTTTCCACCGTCAGTGATGGTGTGGGGTGCCATGTCATCTGCCGGTGTTGGCCCACTCTGTTTCCTGAGGTCCAGGGTCAATGCAGCCGTCTACCAGGAAGTTTTAGAGCACTTCATGCTTCCTGCTGCTGACCAACTTTATGGGGATGCAGACTTCACCTTTCAACAGGACTTGGCACCTGCACACAGTGCCAAAACCACCAGCACCTGGTTCAAGGACCATGGTATCCCTGTCCTTGATTGGCCAGCAAACTCGCCTGACCTTAACCCCATAGAAAATCTATGGGGTATTGTGAAGCGGAGGATGCAATACGCTAGACCCAACAATGCAGAGGAGCTGAAGACGACTATCAGAGCAACCTGGGCTCTCATAACACCTGAGCAGTGCCACAGACTGATCGAGTCCATGCCACGCCGCATTACTGCAGTTATTGAGGCAAAAGGAGCCCCGACTAAGTATTGAGTGCTATACATGCACATTCTTTTCATGTTCATTCTTTTCAGTTGGCCAACATTAGAGAAACAAACATTTTTTCATTGGCCTTTAGAATATTCTAATTTTCTGAGATACCAGATTTGATGTTTTCATTGGTTGTCACCTATAAATATCAAAATTAAACGTAATAAACATCGGAAATACATTGGTCTGTGTGCATTGCATGAATATAATGTACAAGTTTCACGTTTTGAATGGAATTACTGAAATATTTTCAACCTTTTGATGATATTCTAATTTACTGGCCAGCACCTGTACAGTAATTTAGCAGAAATGATGACTACTGTTTGGTGTTCGAGTCAAGAAGAAATAAAAGCTTTCAGACTAAACTGCAGCCCGGCCCGGTGTTCTGCCTTAAAAGTGACTCCCGTAGTTTTCGAGGAACCCAACAACTGCAGCCGTTTCGGCATCACTCCAAAGCAAAACCACAGTAAGGGCCAACTTTCGACGTTTCAGGGCCATGGGACTGGTATGGTGAAGGACAAAGAAATCTTCAGAAGGAGTTTGACAGAAAAGTGATTAAGAGCATACATAAACAGATGGGGAGGAGGGGAAACCCAGGAGGGGAGGAAGGAGGGCAGAAACAGGAGATGGCATGCAATAAACAGATGGAGCGATAAATTAAAGTGCTTTTTCCATGGCAGAAAATTGAAAGATTGAGAGGCTGACATGTGAGCTTCAGGGGAAAGTCTTTGGATGGGAAAGTGACAAAAACAGAAGAGAAGAAGGAAAACACAAACAGAAAGTAATAAAACTCTAAAAAGAATATAGAAATGATAGAGGACACAGGATGTCCCATGATGCATTAGTGTTAATGATGTGTAGTGCTGATGAATTATTATTTCATTTAAATGTGATATCAAGCTGTCTGGTGGAAAATCTGCACTAGAGCAGAAAAATTCCTCGAGGAGCAGCGATGAATAATTCAGTAAACAAGTAAAATACCCCTGAAGCACGGATCTTTATCCAGAACAAGAGCAAACGTTTAACTTAGATTTTGTTATTTTCATCAAAACGTCTGAGTTGCTGAGGACAAGATAAAGAAACAGTGTTTTTCTCAATTCAAAATTTAGAAACAGAAGAAAAAAAAAACAGATATTTTAGTGACCAACAATCAACGTTATCACAAAGTCTACAAATGTTTCAATGAAACCGATTCTCTTCAAAATCTGAAAGGAAATATTATAGTGTTTGCTACACCCATGCCACTATGAATCAAAAGGTAGATCAAAACTTAATCACAAACAGGGCGCTTTTAATTTTCAGAGAGCTTTGAAAGGAGTTGGCTGAACAGATGCGAATACCCTTTTAAAAGTGGTCACAATCACAAATCAAACACATATCTGATGTTTTTCAAACCAACTACAATCTGAATGCTCACTGAGGTGTGAAGCAGCAACAGTACATGCTAACATCTGAAGCATCCATTAATGCAACGCGTTGCGTTTGATGTCTTGTCTTCTTCTGCACAAGAGGGTCACTTATAGGGACCGTCCGTAGACAGTACACTCTGACATCTGATGGTGCACCTCCAAAAACATCCTGACCAACTGCATCACTGCGTGGTACGGCAGCTGCACTGCATCCTGTCAGAAGTCCCTGAAGCGATTGTGAGAGCAGCTGAGAAGATCATTGGTGCCCCCCTTCCGTCCCTCTAGGACAGCTATCAAACCCGCCTGATACCGAAAGCAACTGCTTTATCAGTCCCCTGCCCTTTGGGAGGAGACTGAGGAGCCTCCAGGCCAGAACCAGCAGACTGAGAGTCATTTTCCTCCATCAGGCTGTCAGTATGCTGAACTCACGCCCATCCCCTGGCTATTTCCAGATGTTAGGCAGTACATTTTATTAGACTACTTCATGAGTTAGTTGAAGGGACAAAACATTTTTAAAAAGCTTACATCACAACAACAAACATGTTAAATTTTGCGGACAAATACAACTTTAAACAAACAGAAACAGAGACTGAAAAAAAGGCTCTGACGGAATAAGTTTGAGGAGAACCTGATAACCCGTTTCTGTAAATGAAAATTTCTGCTGTCTTTCTCTGGGTTTTTGTGAAGATGGACATTTCTCAGCCTCACTGATGGATCCATCTGATAAACCCAATCCAATCCAATTTTATTTATATAGCGCATTTAAAAACAGCATGTCTGCTGACCAAAGCACTGCACAGAGTTAAACCTAAAAAGCCATTCAAATTCACATACGTACACATTAAAACAGATAAAAACTGTCATAAAATAGAAACACCTAAAATCAATACAAAAGTTTAAAACAGCCAATAAAAAGAGAAGTCAATAAAAACAGAAGTCAGTGAAAACAGGAGAGTCACAGCATAAAAGACTGACCATTGACCAAAAGCTAAATTAAAAAAAAAGTGTCTTCAGGCTGGATTTAAACTGTGCCAGTGAAGCCTGGCGTAACACCAAAGGGAGTGCGTTCCAGAGTCTGGGAGCAGCAAAGGCGAATGCATGCTCCCCACGAGCTTTATACTTCATTCATTGTAGGGACTTTGAGCAATAGATGATCAGCAGACCTTAGTGACTGGGGGGTGGGGGGTTGAGCAGCCCTGACAGGTATAAGGGGGCTAGACCATTCAGGGCTTTGTAGGTAAACATTAGAACTTTGTGTTGAATTCGAAATTTCACAGGAATCCAGTGTAGATCAGCCAGAATGGGAGTGATGTGACAGCATTTATTTGCATTGGAAAGAAATCTGGCTGCAGCATTCTGGACTTTCTGCAGATGATTTAGGACAGATACATTTACACCAATTGGAACCGAGTTAGAAAAGTCGAGTCTGGAAGTGATAAATGCATGAATAACTGATTCTAAGTGTGGCCTCTTAAGAATGGGCTTTAATCGGGCAAGGCGACGAAGCTGGAAGAAGCAGGATCGAACAGTGGCATTAACATGTGCACTCATTGACAAGTCAACATCCAGTTTAACCCCAAGGCTGGTCACACATGAATTAAGGTTTAGGGGGGAGAGATCAAAGGCAGCAAAGTATGCAGATTATGTTTTGGTTTGAAAAGAATGGCCTTGGTCTTAGTGTCATTGAACTTCAGGAAATTGGAAGCTAGCCAGGTTTTAATTCCTCAGAGGCATTCCGAGAGCTGAGTAATGGAACTTGATTGATTTAAAGCCATATAAATTTGACAGTCATCAGCGTATATGTGATAATGTAGGCCATGTTTAGCAATGATGTTTCCCAGTGGAAGCCTATATATAGAAAAGAGGAGTGGACCTAGAATAGAGCCCAGGGGAACTTCCCAGGGGAGCGGGATAAAAGGAGAAGAGCAATCGCCTATGTGAAT